CGGGCCAAGGGTGGATTGGGTTTTGGGTTTAATTAGAGGTCAGGCCTTCGGGTTTAAGGTGTAAGCGTTAGGGGTTTAGAGTTTTAGGGGTTTGGGGTTTAGAGTTTAGGCAGTGTATGGTTTAGGGCTTGGGAGCTCTTCTGTTCTCGCTTTTCGGTAAGGTTCGTCGTGAGGGCTGGGAGGGGCGGATGCCTATAGACCCTCTGCACGAAACCTCAAGGTTAGGGTTTAGGGGTTTAGGGTTTAGGGGTTAGGGTTTAGGGTTTAGGGCCTAGGGCTTAGGGTTTAGGGTTTGGTGTGAGGAACCCTTGTTAGGAACCCTTGAGCCCTAAGCGCGTTCTGGGCCCCCGGCTGCATTCAACGGCTTGGCAGCTGGCTTGGGGGCGCCTTTACATGCCAAAGCAACCCTAAACCCTAAACCCTAAACCCTAAACCCTAGACCCTAAACCCCAGACCCTAAACCCTATACCCTACACCCCCACCCTAAACCCTAAACCCTAAACCCTAAACCCTAAACCCTAAACCCTAAACCCTAAACCCTAAACCCTAAACCCTAAACCCTAAACCCTAACCTAAACCCTAAACCCTAAACCCTAAACCCTAAACCCTAAACCCTAAACCCTAAAACCTAAACCCTAAACCCTAAACCCTAAACCCTAAACCCTAAACCCTAAACCCATAAACCCTAAACCCTAAACCCTAAACCCTAAACCCTAAACCCTAAACCCTAAACCCTAAACCCTAAACCCTAAACCCTAAACCCTAAACCCTAAACCCTAACCCTAAACCCTAAACCCTAGACCCCAAACCCCAAACCCTGCCCTCAAGTCAACACGTTTCGCGTCAAGAAAGCTTCAAACCATGAAGTCCGAAGTCCTAAGCTGTGCACTCCAAACTCCGGACGCTGTACCTACTCCATAAACCTTGAATCCTAGCACCGCAAACCCTAAACCCTAAAGCCTAAACCCTACACCCTAAAGCCTAAACCCTACACCCTACACCCTACACCCTAAACCCTAAACCCTAAACCCTAAACTCTAAACCCTAAACCCCGACCCTAAGCTGTAAGCCCTGCACCTGACACTCCGCCTACAAGGTCCCCTCAACTCCCAAAGGCCTGAACCGCAAACCCAAACCCCAAGCATTCTAGCTCCCAAGCTCCCAGGCCCGAAGATCCCCTCTCCTTCCCCAAATGTTCTGGATACCCTAAACCCTAAACCCTAAACCCTAAACCCTAATCCCGAAACATCCGAATCCTCAAGCCCTGAGCCCCATACATGTTACGAAGAGCTCCAAAAAGCCCCTGGCTACCCTCCCTTCCCGCCCCTCCCCACCCCCCTTCAGGGTGTAGGTTGAGGGTTTAGGGTTTAGGGTTTAAGATTTAAGGTTTAGGGTTTAGGGCTAGGGTTTAGGGCTTAGGGCTAGGGTTTAGGGTCATCCCTAAAGCCAACAAAGAGCAGCACCTTGAGCCAGACCTTTCGGTGGCGGGGGTGGCGGCTTGGCACCCGGAGGAAGCTCTCCGCTTGCAGCCTTTCGTTCTTAGGATCCTCACCCGTGGGGTTTAGGGTTTAGGGTTTCGGGTTTAGGGTTTGGGGTTTTGGGGTTTAGGGTTTAGGGTTTAGGGTTCAGGGTTCAGGGTTCAGGGCGCTTGGTGCTTGGGGTTTAGGGCTTTGGGTTTTGGGCTTTCACGGGTATAGGGAGGGACCCCTAGAAGGGACCCTTAATCTTATTCCCCTATAAAACCCCAGAATATGCCTATGCCGTCCCTCTATACCTAAGTAGCCCCCGAAATAACCCCTAAGGTCCCTTACAAGGGCCCCTCCTTGAGTCTCGGGTTCTAGGGTTTAGGAGCCCCCAGAAGCGGCAGCTCGAAAGGACCTTCAGCAAGTACGCCCAGCATGGTTTAGGGTTTAGGGTTTAGGGTTTAGGGTTTAGGGTTTAGCCGCAGGCTGAGATCCAGGTAGAGAAGGGCATGTCAGGCACACAGCGAACATACAATGGTCCCAGTTAAAAGCGACTTAAAGTCTGGCCGTTCTCCACTGTTTTGCTCTATTTGCCCGAATTGATAGATGTGAGACAGACTCTCAGCTACTGAAGCGTTCAATCCCATCCGTTATCTGTACAGAGGCTTGCTGCTCACGGCTGTGGAATCATGGGCGCGAAAGGCCCTGAAAACAGGTCAGCAAATTGCTGATCCATCACATTGCGTCTCCAGAATGCATGACTGAACAACAGTAGCGTCGGCCAAGTTAGCAGAGCATTCAGTGCATCAAGGTTTCCCCTAAGCCCTAAGCCCGAAGCCCTAAACCCTACAGCCCTGAACCCTAAAACCCGAAACCCTACAACCCTGGCCCCCTAAGCCCTAAGCCCTTAACCCTACAGTCCTGAACCCCCTAAACGTTTAAGCGTTGACATCCGAGACCCGAAATCCCTGAGCTTCCTCACAAGGGTGAATGCCGGCACAGCACTCATGCTCCAACTGCGTCCAAGAAACCTCCAGCTTCCGTCACCCCCGAAAAACACATCCGATCTCTAGGGTTTTGGGTATAGGGTTGAGAAATGTAGGCATTTAGTAATTTAGGGCGTTTATCAAATTAGTGTTTTGACCTTAGTAATTAAGGACTTAGGTATTTTACGGTTCAGTACTTGGGCAACCACAAAATCCTGACACCCCTGCAGCCTCACAACCCTCAACCCCAAAGCACACTAAACCCTGAACCCTGAACCCTGAACCCTGAACCCTGAACCCTGAACCCTGAACCCTGAACCCTGAACCCTGAACCCTGAACCCGCAACCCTAAACCCTAAACCCTAAACCCTAAACCCTAAACCCTAAACCCTAAACCCTAAACCCTAAACCCTAAACCCTAAACCCTAAACCCTAAACCCTAAACCCTAAACCACAAGCCTTTTGTGGTGACTTGCGGCTGGAACGGCGAGCATCCTATGCTTCGGGTCCTACAGCAAACGCCCTAAAGACCAAAGCCTCGGGCTTGGGGCAGAGGGAGTTTTAATCACATTTTTCTGGCCCTAATCCCTACCCCTAAACCCTCAACCCTCAACCCTCAACCCTCAACCCTGAACCCTGAACCCTGAACCCTGAACCCTGAACCCTGAACCCTGAACCCTGAACCCTGAACCCTGAACCCTAAACCCTAAACCCTAAACCCTAAACCCTAACCCTAAACCCTAAACCTTGAAGGCCTTTGGCGGGGGTCCAGGCGGCCGGGCTCCGGGTCCCGCAGGGCCCTGCGGGTTAGTGGTTGGTTTGGTTTCGGGTTTCGGGTTTCGGGTTTCGGATTTCGGGTTTCGGGTTTCGGGTTTCGGGTTTAGGGTTTAGGGTTTAGGGTTTAGCGTTTAGGGTTTAGCGTTTAGGGCTTACAGGGTTTAGGGTTGAGGGTTGAGGGTTCAGGGTTTAGGGTTGAGGCTTTAGGGTGTAGGGTTGAGGCTTCAGGGTTTAGGGGCAAACCGTAAATGATGTAAGTCACGCAGGTAGAATCTCCAGGAGCGTCTGCGGGGACGGTTTTTTCTTTTGGGGGTCGGGATAGGTTGGGTGCACTGAAAACCAAAACTCACAAACCCCAAGTTCTAAAACCCAAAAGATTGGAACCGGATCCCCGAAACCATAAACCCTAAAACCCTACAACTCTAAAACCGTAAAACCTAAACCCTAAATCCTGAACCCTAAGCCCGAAACACCAAGCCCTAAGCTAAGTGGCTTCCCCCCGAAAAGGTGCGCCTGGCCGGGGTTCTTCGGCGGGGGGCCAGGCGGCCCGCCTGTTGCCTGGCCCAGGTAGATCGGGTTTAGGCTCTTCGGGCTCAGGGGTACCCTCAACCCTAAGCCCTAAACCCTGAGCCCTAAACCCTAAACCCCTAAACCCTAAACCCTAAACCCTCAACCCTCAACCCTCAACCTGAACCCTAAGCCCTATTCGGGTTTAAGGTTTAGGGCTTAGGGCTCCTTCGAACCCTGAGCCCTAAACCCACGAAAAGCCCCAAACCCCAAACCCCAAACCCCAAACCCCAAACCCCAAACCCCAAACCCGAAACCCACGAAAGCCCTGCTTTTGCTGAAAGGTTCCTAGGCAATTCCTTCCATGGGTTGCTACAAGAAAGGTAATTACTACTATTTGCTTAAGAACCCCAAAAGAACAAAACAATAGCAAGCCCTTAATATGGCAGAATGTTTTTTACATTTTTCGGGGGTTTCTTAAGCAATGAGTCGATGAGGGGGTGTGGTTGACAAAGCAGGGTTTAGGGTTGTAGGGTTGAAGATGCTTGAGGTTCAAGGTTTGGGCTTAGGAAGGTTTTGGGTTTAGGATTTAGGGCTTAGGGTTTAGGTTTAGGGTTTAGGGGCTTCACTAATATGGGGCCTACAGCTACCATCAAGAACTTGGGCTCTACTGGTTGGGCATCAGGGGTTCGGACTTCTGTTGTTGGGTTTAGGGCTGCCTTGCGGGTGGCGGGGGCGGGGAGAGGGGGGTTAGGGTTTAGGGTTTAGGGTTTAGGGTCCAGGGTTTAGGGTTTAGGAATTGGGGTTTAGGGTTTAGGGTTGCGGGTTTCGGGTTTAGGGCTAGGGTTTGGGTTCAGGTGTTCTTGAGTTTTTCCCAGTCTTGCCCAGCAGGAGCAAAGGGCGGGCCTTCTGGAGCCCGGCGTTTGGGGGACCCGGCGGCCGCTGCTTCATCATGGCCTCCGGCCCTAAACCCTAAACCCTAAACCCTAAACCCTAAACCCTAAACCCTAAACCCTAAACCCTAAACCCTAAACCCTAAACCCTAAACCCTAAACCCTGAACCTTAAACCCTAAACCCTAAACCCTAAATGCTTTCAAGAGAGGATTTCTGGGTTTAGTGGGTATTGGTCTAAGGGCCCAACATCAAAACCCTTTAAAGGAGGTGACCTCATTAAGAGCCCACAAAACCACCCTTAGAATCATGGCCCTAAACCCAAAACCCAAAGCCCTGAACCCTTCAGCCGTGGCAGCTGGATATGCAGGGTTTGGGGTTTAGGGTTTAGGGTTTAGGGTATTAAGAACTGTATTCCTCTAGTCAAGGTCCCTACGCTTTTTTTTGGAGGGGGTATGCACCCTTTTGGGAATTCATCAAATTTGAACCCTGCTGCTTTGAAGGCCGCCCGGGAGCGCAGGTTCAGCCTCAGACTTACATGGGTTCAGGATCGCTTTCCAACGCTTCAACAACCACCCCACACCCCTCTAAACCCTAAACCCAAAACTCCTAACCCCCAAACCCTGAACCCTCAACCCCAAATGTCATTTCTCAGGTTAGTTGCATGGTCCCTGAGTGTGGGCCCCTTTGGGCCCTTAAAGGGGACCTCGCATATGCCCCCCTATTTTTAGCTATACCAATGAAGGGCCCATACACCAGAAGCCTTGAAAGGAGGTTAGGGACCATATTAAGGGACCATGAACAAATACAAGCGCAGCCCCGCCTCAGGCCCGGGGCCCTTGGGCGGGGGCCCTGGTGGTGCCTTGAGAACAGGATCTGTGTGGAGGAAAAAGGTTGGGATGTTCCCCCTTCTACTAACAGTCCTTCATCGGGATCATTTTTCGGGGGTACTAGAATCCCAATTAAGGACTGCTAGCATAAGCGGGAACATCCCAAAACACAGAGGGTATGGAAAGGTTAGGAACCAGAAACTTTAAGGTCGAGAAGGCCTAGGGCCGAGAAGATTGGAGCCGTGGGGTTTAGGGTTTAGGGATTAGGGGATAGGAAGGCTTGGAAGGTTTGGAAGGCTCGGGGGATTGGAGCTAGAACATTTCGGGCTTCGGTTCCCTAAACCCTGCAATCCCAGAGCTGCCACAGGTTGGGTGCACCCAAGGCTTATTCTACATGTCACCCTAAACCCCAAAACCCTAAATTCTTAAAACCCTAAAACCCTAAACCCCAAACCCAACCTGTCCTGTTCTAGGTCTCAGGAGGCTTCGGTGCTGCCCTAGAAAACTTCGGGCAGCTGGAGTTTTTGGGCGTAGATTCGCACCTTCACACTATAATGCACGGGGGGTTAGGGTTTAGGGTTTAGGGTTAAGGGTTTAGGGTTTAGTTTACACGGGGCAATCTAGTATGGGTAGTTCGCTAAATTAGGGTCCCTTTTGCGGTCCTTCGTTGAAGGGTGGCGTACTATACATATTCCTCAGAAAGAAAAGGGACCCTAATTTAGGGAACTACCCATATACAAGAATCACGACCAACTGGGTTCAGGGAAAAGGAGGGCTTTGGGCTTGTGAAGAAATGCTTGATAGAGTTTAGGGCTGAGGGTGTTACAGGGTTTTGCCGGGTTCAGGTTCTAGGGTTTCGGGTCTCTAGCGGAAGGAACACATGCACCCCAAGCTTTGTCCGAAACCATGAGAACTCTACATCCCAGTTTTGTTTTGATGCCGCACTGCTTGCATGCCAGTGGCCATGAACCCCATCTTCATCATCTGCTGCGCGAACTCCGCCTGATGCCACTTTGGCAGCCCGATTGTTCATGGGGCCCTCAACTCTAAACCCTAAACCCTCTAAACCCTAAACCCTTAACCCACTAAACTCCAAGAGGTCTAGATCCCAGGCCTGACTACGCACATCTCATGCCCAACCACTCCATTGACTCCATTGTCCCCCAATTTCTCGGAGTCTCAAAACCCTGAAACCTCAACTCCAAGACTCAGCCCTTAAAAGCCTGCTTGGAGGTCCATGGTACTTGTTGACCAAGTACAACTGTACTTGTAACTGTACTTGTAAACATATTAGGGCACTTAAGGGGCTTACAAGTGGGTTATAAGGACAGTTATGATTGGTTAATAAGTACCCTCAACCCTAAACCCTAAACCCTAAACCCCATTAGTTAATAAGTACCATGAACCTCCAAGTAAGCCCTACAATAACAGCCTCAGAGCGATGCCCTGCCTGCGACTGGCCGGCACATCCACCTCAGCTTTTTCACTGGCCCACAGGTTTGAGGGTTTAGGGTTTAGAGTTTAGGGTTTAGGGGTTTAGGGTTTAGCATTTAGGGTTCTCAGTAGGGACTCAGGGAGTTTGGTGCCGTAGCCATAAACCCTAAACCCTGGACCCTGTTACTCCGAATTCCCTGAGTCCCTACTGAGAACCAGTCAAGGCCCAAACATGAGAGGGTTTGCGGATTTAAATTTAGGAGCCCTTGAAACACAAACCACAAACTATCCAAGCCCCACAACACTCTAAACCCACAAGCCCCTTAAAGCCTCTGAAAGCTAAAGCCCCCAAAGCCCTAAACAGCCTGAAGCCCCATAGCCCTAAAGTCGCACATTTGAAGGTTCATGGGTAGTTACAAGTAGGGTTATCGGGAGGGGGGCTGTTTTGGCAGCTTGTTGGAGTCCTGTATAGGGTGGGCGGTTGCCATAAGAGAACACCGGCTTCTGTCTCCTGTGTCCATGTCTTCAATATTCTGTGTCCATGTCTTCAATATACGTTTGTGCGAAGATACTTAAACCTCTTTTACCATCGTAGCGTGAAACCAGTCTTTTTACGCCTCGGCTGCTTGTCTTTGTCCCTCGATGGGAGGCGTCGCATGGAAAAGCTCGGTGGGCTTTCCCAACGGTGGCATGGTGAAGTCCGGTCGAGGCGCAGAAGACCAACGATGTGGTCGAGGTAAGCATTGTCCTGCACCCGAGGCATCGAGTCCAGAGGGCGACCTTGCATATCCAAAATGAGAGGATACAACCCATCGTCGGAAGGGGTGAGCTTGAGGAGGCCACTGGACTCGGCTTCCACCCATAACCTCTGCTGATAGTGCAAGAATAGTTGCAGACGGGGGCTGCGCACTATACGCTGCCACGCCTCCAAGCTCCGTCTTTCGAACGGGCCAAGGCGCTCCTCGCCCTCTTGCTCTGGGGCCTCGGTCGTCTCTGCTGTACCTGTCTGTCTCCACTCCGCATTCTGCGAAGTGCCCTAAACAGGGTTTATAGGTATTACCTAGCTAACACACTGTTAACGCTACTTATGACTACACGCGAACCCTAAACTCTAAACCCTAAACCCTAAACCCCTAAACCCCAAACCCTTAAGCCCCAAGCCCTAATCCCCAAACCCTAAACCCTAAAGCCCCACAAAGCTCTAGACCCATAGTAAAGCCACCAAGCCCACGGCTACACTGTCTCAAGCCTCTGCCAACACCGTGAAGCCCCGAAGCCCAAGAACCCTAAACCCTAAACCCTAAACCCTAAACCCTAAACTTACCCTAAATCCTAAACCCTAAACCCGAAACCCTAAACCCTAAACCCTAAACCCTAAACCCTAAAGGGCGCCGAAGCAGGGTAGCTGTGGCATCGGTGGTGGCCCCGGAGGCCTTGGCGAATCTACGGTCGCGGCTCCCATTTGGGGGGTTTAGGGTTTAGGGTTTAGGGTTTAGGGTTTTTGAGGTTTCTTCGGTTTCTTAGGGTTTAAGGGTTTTAAGGGCTTTAAGGCCTAGGAATGGCCTAGCAGTAGTATAGGGTTTAGGGTTCAGGGTTCAGGGTTTAGGGGTTCTACTTGTTGGATCCTTCGAGACGTCTGGGTTGGGCTTCATTGGGGTTTGTTACGGTGTATTGGGGCTGATTAGAGATATGAAGGCGTTGAGGGTTTAAAGGTTTGAGGGAATTGTAGGAGTTTGGGGCTAGGGTGTTATGGCTTTTGGGTTAGAGGGCTTTTAGGGCTTCAGGGTTAAAAATGGTAAATTCGGGACTTAGCTATTGGGGTTTAGGGCTTTTAGGGCTTCAGGGGTTTCAGGGCTTTGAGCTAGGGTTTTGGGGCCTTTGGAACCCTTTTTTTGGAGGGTTTACGGTTTCGGGATTTTGGGCTTTAGGGAGTTTAGAGTTTAGAGGGCCTCTGAACAATATGAGGTCGGGCTTAGTGGGGTCGCACACAAGAAGGTTGACATGCCAACTTAACACTAGCCCAAGCCCGCAACCGTAGCCCACTCTGCCCTGACCCTAAAACCTACTTGAGCCAGGCGGCCCTAGCACGACGCCCTCCCAATGTGGGGGCTTCCAAAATTAGGGCGTACCTTATTGGGGTCGTTCTTATCAGGGGATCCTAGTATTTGGGGGTCTATTTTAGGGGTCCCCTATTTACGTAAACCCCCATGTCAGCAAAGAGAGCCAGACCCGCGTGAAGGCCCAGGGAAGCCTGCATAGCTCAGGGCTCAGGGGGCACTTCGGCTTAGGGCTTGGTGGAGGACACCCCCCCCCCCAACTCTGTCCCTGACAAACCGACAAACCTGAATAGGTCCGGCCCCCTCTTATTTAAGGCCTTCCTTCCAAGGGTTCGCAAAGGGTTTGTGAGAAGCTTTGCTTGAAGTACAGGGCGTCTCCTCTTTGTTTAAGGACTCAGGCTTGGGCTTCGGGGGTCCGCTCATTTCCTGCACCTTTTGCAAAGTTTTCGCAGAACTTTGAAGGCTTTGGGGATGCGGGTGGTGCTGTTTCCGCACCTCCGACCCCTTGACGGATCCCTTCGAAACTCCTGGTGTTAAAGGCACCAGCAGGGAGGAACCCTGAATGCTGAAACCGGAGAAACCTTAACCCCGCCAAAACACATTGACAATAAAACACCAAGCCCGAGCAATGAAACCACAAGGACTCGAACCCAAGCTGCAAAAGGCTTCGGGCTTGGAGTGCACTGAGGGTCAAAACCCCTAAAACCCTAAGCCCCCAAACCCAAAACCCAAAACTCAAAACTCTAAACCCAAAACTCCCTAAACCCTAAACCCTAAAACCCTAAGCCCCCAAACCCTAAACCCAAAACTCAAAACTCAAAACTCTAAACCCAAAACTCCCTAAACCCTAAACCCTAAACCCTGAACCCTAAACCCTAAACCCTAAACCCTAAACCCTAAACCCTAAACATAAACCCTAAACCCTAAACATAAACCCTAAACCCTAAACCCTAAACCCGAGGGGTGCCTCCCCCGCATCCTGGTGGCGGCCCTGGGGAGTGATTCTTTGGGTGGATTTCGGGGAAGATCGACACCCGAAGGGCCAGGGAAACTTTTGGGAGGGTTGAGGGTACCGGGGTTCGGGGCCCTAAGCCCTAAACCCTAAACACTAAACCCTAAGCCCTAAACCCTAAACCTAAACCCTAAACCCTAAACCCTAAACCCTAAACCCTAAACCCTAAACCCTAAACCCTAAACCCTAAACCCTAAACCCTAAACCCTAAACCCTAAACCCTAAACCCTAAACCCTAAACCCTAAACCGCTAGGTCGGCTGTCTGGTCAGCGGCAGTGCGCCGCAACCATGGTTGCAAAAGGGGAGGCTGCCATGCTGGAGGCTAGGAGTTGCTAGGGTTTAGGCTTTAGGGTTCAGGGTTTAGGGTTTCGGGTTTAGGGTTCCGGGTTTAGGGTTTCGGGTTTAGGGTTTCGGGTTTAGGGTTTCGGGTTTAGGGTTCAGGGTTTAGGGTTTCGGGTATGGAAGGGACTGACCTGTTGGATTATCGATCATGCTATCAGGGGCGCTGGCTCATCCAAACCACTGGCTGGCAGATGTCGCCGGCGTGAAGTTCGTCGGCGTAAATCAACCGGAAGATTTCGTCGCTCTCTTTGGGTTTAGGGTTTAGGGTTTAGGGCTTAGGGTTTAGGGTTTAGGGTTTAGGGTTTAGGGTTTAGGGTTGTCCTCGGCCTTCTCGGGACTTGGCGACAGCGCCGGAACGATGGCTCTTAAACCCCTCTGAAAAATTCCTGAATATGATCCTCTTAAGCCCAAAAAGGGAAAATATAAAATGTCCCAAAGGCACATTGCTATCAGGGTGTAGGGGTTAAGGTTTAGGCTGTAGGGTTTCGGGTTTGGGGTTTGGGATTCAGGGCTGCCGCTTTTGGCCTTTCTTGTGGGCTTCCCAGCCTTGTCCAGAACATTGCTTGCCAAACACACCACCGGGATGGCTCCTAAAACCCTCAGAAAACACATTCCTGAACATGATCCTCTAAAACCCAACAAGGGAAAATATGGAATATCCCAAAGGCCTACCTAGACAAAGACACACCCAGAAGGCACGGTAGGCCTGTCATAGCGCAGAGGAACAGATGACATCCCAACCGGGGTGGACCAAGTGAGTGACAAGTGAAGTGCCCGAAAACAAGCTAATCAGTCTAACCCCGCCCTCCAATCCAACAGCCGTCCTAAACCCTAAACCCTAAACCCTAAACCCTACACCCTACACCCTAAACCCTAAACCCCCAACCCTAAACCCTAAACCCTAAACCCTAAACCCTAAACCCTAAACCCTAAACCCTAAACCCGCACATCCCTGCAATCGATCCCTACCTGTGAACCCGGTGCAATACGGCTTGGAACCCCTAGACAACCCTTCAAACAACTCCAAGCCCCCAAGTCTTCAACCCTTCCAACCCTACTACCTTATTGGGGTCCTTATTATGAGGAAATCCTCTACTTGGGGGCCTAAACCCCTAAACCCCTAAACCCCTAAACCCCT